TAATAAATAAACATTAAAAACTTTTAAAAAATGTAAAACCAATTCTAAAGTCAAGAGCCATATCAAAGAAACCCTGTAGTTCACAGACCCCTGCATTAATACTATCAATACTGTTGATGTCCATCATTCACCTCTCATGTCCTTATTTCCCTCATGATCATCTTAGATTCTACAATACTTTGTCATAACCACTCCCTTGCAAACAATTTCACCTCCCTGCCCTTTTATCACTTTATTTAACCCCAACCTTGGTTAAAACCAACTCTCTTCCTACTCCACACCTCTACCCATGCAGCAAAACACAACAGGAAAACATGCACAACCCTGCTTTAAATTTGTGACTGTTAACTTTAAGTGGACATTAGTGTCCCCTGGCATTCCTACATTTTCCTAATCCATTTATTCTTTTAGTCTCCTAGAGATCTATTTTACATATTCTCTTCAGGCCCCCAACAATGTCTCCCTCATTCTCACCCTCATTAAGAAAATAGAAAATCAGAAGACAATTCCCACTACCTACCTGTATCTCCCCATGTTCTCTGTCTTCCCTTATTATTAACAAACTATCCACACTCCTATCAAAAGCCAACTCCTGCACTTGTACACTAAATCCCATCCCTTCTTGCCTCTAAATTATCTTAATTATCTATCAATTGTCCCCACTCTCTCCATCATCAATTATTCCATGTTTTATAGGCCATTCCCAATAGCACACAAATATCTTATCTAGATTTCTTTATCCTATAGAATCTATTCAGAAAATTATACTTGCAAATACCATTTTTCATTAAATCCAAACTTTATTATTTTTAATCTACTAAGGACAAAGTCTTCCCATCTCAGTCTATGATTTCTACAAAACTAGAATGAATGCTAAGCATCTAAGTACCGTTATCATTCTATTAAATGTAAATATGTATATATACACATCTTTTATGTTAATGTATTCCTTCATATCAAATGATTACATTGATTTTCTAATATTAAGCACCCACTGATAAAAATTCCTTATAAAAACAGGTCAGAACTATACTGTCAAGGAATTACATTTTCCATGTAAAACAAGGGAAATCTGAGAAACTGGCACAGTCAAAATAGCCTAAGAAAGCATGTCAACTAAAGGTAATGTGGTATATTCTGGATGAGATCTTGACACAGAAAAAGAACATAAAAAAAAAAAAAATAAGGAAATCTGAATAAACTATGGACTTTAAGTTAATAATAGTGAATCAATATTGGCTCATTAACTTTAACAAATGTACTATGCTCATGTAAGATGTTAATAGGGAAAACTTGGTGCAAAGGTATATGGGAATTTTTTGTAGTAGCTTTGCAATTTTTTATAAATCTAAAAATATCCTAAAAGATTGACTTTATTAAAAAGAAGGTGAAGGTCAGGTTAGTATTGCTTCCAGTAAATATTACACTCCTAGCGCTAAACCTAAAAAAACCAAAGAATACTATTCTCAAATTTTATAATCAATCTCAATATAATATATATTAATACTAATTAATAAGAAAAAAAAGAAAGATATCTACTACACGTGAATCACAGTTCTGATTCAGCAATCATGTAAGAGAGTTAGATTAAAATAAGAACATCACAATTAAATTTGATTTGGAAGCAAATCTATTCAAGCACTATATTTGTACATATATATTTAGTACTTTTTCCCCCTATATATTTCAGTTCAGAAACAGGTAAAAGGAAAGAAAGGGAGGGAAAAAACAGGGAGAGAGGGAAGGAGGGGAAGGAAGGAAAGAACGAACGAACAATGGTAAAAGCAAAGATATAAATATTTGACTAAATCACAGGAACAGAAAACTTAAACATAAATAAAACATGACTAAGTCACCTACACAATGATAGAAACCTAAAAGAGATTTGAAAGGATTAAACAACAAAACTCAATTAAAATTCTCAAAAAGTAGAATGAAGTTGAGATATAATTTAGAATTTTTTTAAATAAGGAAAAAATTCCAAACAGCAATTAATTACTACAGATGAAGAACTAGTAATATTAGGACACTCCAGAAGAAATACTTTTAAGAGAAAAAAAAGTTTATAAGCTTCTTAAGGTCAAAAACCATATTATATTCATCTCTGTACTCCTCATGGTATTTGCACATAAGAATTATTTAACAGTTCTTTTAAATAAACAATTCATTTATCTTCTAACTGAGGGTTAATTCTCTCTAAAAGGATATCCAAAAGCAGTGCCACAGGAATCCACAGCAAAGACCAGGAATGGTTTTTCTATAACTACAATATGACATCAGAAGGAAAAAATGTATTTGAGTTTCAAAGGCTTTTAAGGAAAAATAAATTTAAATTCTTCAAGGAAATACGTCTTTTTTTAATGAGAGAAAAAAGCAGATTACTTTTAAGTAACAGCAACAGCTTTCTGCAAAATATCACATTTTTTAAATTTCCTAAGTTTATTTAGGAAGTATTTTTGAAATGTTAGTACCAGTTATACAAAATATTGTAAAACTTATAGAAACCTGGCCTATAGACCAAACGCTCTTTTTAAAATTACTAGAAAGGGAGCACCTAGGTGGCTCAGTCAGTTAAGCATCTGACTTCAGCTCAGGTCACCACCCCATGGTTTGTGAGTTCAAACCCCACATTGGGCTCTGTGTTGACAGCTCAGAGCCTGGAGCCTGCTTCAGATTCTGTGTCTCCCTCTCTCTCTCTGTAGCCCTCCCCTGCTTGCACTCTGTCTCTCTCTCAAAAATAAATAAAAACAGAGGACCATGGGGGGTGGGGAGGGGGGAAAAATAGTTATGGAGAGGGAGGGAGGGAAACCGTAAGAGACTCTTAAATATTGAGAACAAACTGAGGGTTGATGGGGGTGGAGGAGAAAGGGAAAATGAGTGATGGGCATGGAGGAGGGCACTTGTTGGAATAAGCACTTTTATATGGAAACCAACTGATAATAAACTATAAAAAATAAATAAATAACAACAAAAAACACACATTTTAGCATTATCTTTTTATCTGAGAATTTCTGCCTTTTATTTTTATATCTAGTCTACTTTTTTAATGTAATTATTGCTATGGCTCTGTCATCTTGCTGTTAAAAAGATTACTATTCTTCTATAGCTGTACTTTTTAGTTAATTTTATGCATTATGAAAATTTCAAGTGCCAAAAATAAGAAACCTATAATCTTGGTTGTTTTACTTAATTGAAACTCTCTTCCAATAAACACCTTACCTTTCACAGATAATTAATTAATTTTAAAAAACCATTTTTTAAAACATTTAAAATTACTAAAAAGAAATGTAAGCTGTAGAAAAATTTAAACGTATTATGAAGGCAGGAGTTTCAGTGCAAGTATCCATGACTAATTTATTTTAATCATATGTAAACTTTTCAATTCATCAAAACATCAGGCTTCACTTTCTATAAACCAAAATCATATTTATAGAAAATGGGAGAGGATGGGATTCTTCCCATATAGCTCTGTCAATTAGAAAATCTAAAACTGGGGCACCTGAGTGGCTCAGTTGGTTAAGCCTCTTACTTTGGCTTAGGTCATGATCATACACTTCATGAGTTCGAGTCCCACGTTAGACTCTGTGCTGACAGCGCAAAGCCTGGAGCCCACTTCCAGTCCTGTGTCTCCCTCTCTCTGCCCCTCCCATGCTCACACTCTGTCTCTCTCAAAAATAAATATCTTTATTTTTGAGAAAACCTAAAACTATTATGGCTTATTTAGTACCCATGGTCTCTGGACATTTATAAAAGAATTGACTTCTCAAAGTTCTAAATGTCATCCTTAACTTTATAAACCAGGCTACAATTCTGACGATTTATAATAATAAAAGTTAAATTTAAAAAAATTTTAGTATTTGTTTATTTTTAAGACAGAGAGACAGAGACAGAGCACAAGCAGGGGAGGAGCAGAGAGAGGAGAAACAGAATCCAAAGCAGGCTCCAGACTCCAGGCTCTGAGCTGTCTGCACAGAGCCCAATGTGGGGCTCTTACTCACGAACTGTGAGATCATGACCTGAGCTGAAGTTGGATGCTTAACTGAGCCACCCAGGAGCCCCAAAAGTTAAATTTTTAAAAAATAATATATTCTGTATTGCAAACAATGATACTTACAAACAATGATACTCTAGAGAAGAGAACAAAAGGAAAGCCAATACGAACTCAAAAATATCTTTTCACATGCCAATCTTAGAATTACTTTATGTAGACACTTAAAATAATAACTTTTTAAATTTTATGTAATATTTAATGATATAGTAGTGATGGTTTCACTAATAATCTGGCAATACAACTTTTGAAAGAGTTAATGTTATTATATAGCAGTAATTCTATTTTTTCTAAATTATTAGAAATCCAAATTTCTAAATTATTTTATCTTTCTAAATAAAAGTGTTTTTGGGAGAAACTACAAGTTGACAAAAATCTTCATTAAATTCTCAAAAATAAATCATAAAAATGTAAGAATTTTCATAAGGCATTCTAAGAGATTTTTTTTTTAATGTTTATTTAAGAGAGAGACCGTGAGAGAGAGTGCACAGGGGACAGGCAGAGAGGGAGGGAGAGACAGAATCCCAAGCAAGCTCCCTACTGTCAGCACAGAGCCTGACATAGGGATCTATCTCACAAACCTTGAAATCATGACCTGAGCCGAAATCAAGAGTCCATCGTTTGACTGAGCCACCCAGGTGCCCCTAAGAGATTATTATAATAAAGGGGGAAAAAACTTCACAAAATATTAATGAAATTATTTAAATTTCAAAAGCTTGAAACCAATTATATATTAATCTCAATAGATAACATTATTACTTATCAACATATTCCTATAAAATCAAAATGAAGTAAACTTATTACCATCTACTCCAAGTCATAACCCATACTACCAAGTATAAATTAAAAGCATTCTACATAAGTTTTTACACACCTCTAGCACACTTTTGAACTCACTTGGATAAATATGGATCTTTCCAACAGCAGCAGCAGTTTCTACAAAGTTATTTACCTTGTCCAGGTCTTGCAGTTACAGCTGCTCCAGCAGATGGCGGCTCAAACTCCTGTCAATTACAACAATGTTATTACAGTGACTATTACAATGCGCTATTTATAATAAAATAGCAGTGATATAACAGCCTTACCTTTGCTTTCTTTGAGTCTGGGTCAAATCTTTCAAGAATTAATTTAGCTGTTTTATAAGTTTCTTTTTCCATGACCTCTTCGAGCTACAAACAAAAATTTCCATAAATTGTCACACTTTAAAACACACACTACTTATTTTTAAATGTCCTGTTCCAAAAGTGTTCAAGTACAATGCTTAAAATAAACAGCACATAATATATCCAAAGAGCATGAAAGACTTCCTACATTCAAATAATTAAAATCCAGATTTTAAAATGGCTTCTAACCTCTAATATGTTACTTGTATTTAACAGCTTTACTGGAAGGAAATACCAAATACTGCTAATTGTTTACATATAATGAGGAGAATAATTACATGCACCAACTTCAATAATGGAATGTGCAAAAATCTATCAGCCATCATTATTGGAAGTTATTAGACATGACAAGCAAATGACAGGCAATTCCTCAGATTTATTTCCTCATAGCACTTAATGCTATTAATTTAAAGAAGGTCGTTAGCCAAGAGCTTTACAAAATAAAATCTCTGTGCCAATTAACTGCTGTCAGCATCGATTTTAGATTATTTATTAGCAGAAGCAATTAGCTTGCTGCAAATGCAGTGAAAAATCACTAACTGGGAGAACAGCCATGGAATTTGCTCAAATGACTTTAAAAGCTGAAGCTCCCCCCTTTCTACTTAGATCCAAACAACTTGAGAGGGAAAAAAACATAGTAAGAATTTTAGTAAATAAAAACTTTACCGAGTTCTATATTCACACTAGGGACTGTAATTAAAACAGTTCATTATTATAGCATTTTATTTACAATATATTCAAGTCACTGTATGGCTTAATACAGAGTTTAATTTAAAAAGCAATAAGTAGTAAAGTATCATTTTAGCAGTTATGGCCCAATATCAGGAAAGTTTAATTTTAGTACAAGACAGTCATATTATGACAAACAGCTAATATGTAGTAGAAAATGCTCTTGCAAAAATTGGAATAGGACCTTTTCCTTTTCAGTGACCACTGATAGCCATTTAGATTCAGTAAATGTCATATTTATTCCAAAGGTCATTTATTTTAGACTACAACACAGAAAAGCATATTTACCAAGTTAAAAATACAGTTAAAAATATGCTGCCCAATAGTTGTTAATGAATTCCTCATTAAAAACTCAATTCAACATTTAAGAAGCTAAGTGCTTAGATGAATGATTTATTAACCTTGGTTTAATGAAACTAAAAATTTTCCTAATTATTTCAAAATTATGATAAATTCTCAAAACAAGCAAGTTTCATTTTCTGATGTAAAGGAAAGGTTTGCAGTAACACCTTAGAGTTGAGGAAAAACTAGGAATTGAGATAGGAAGAGGGCATATTATACGTCCCCAAATCAATATAACCTACATGGAATCCACATGGGATATCAATGAACTAAATCCCAGATCTCTACAAATTAATTTTTGATGTCTTAGACCAATATTGTTGTGGCAATAGAACTTTACATGATGATGGAAATGGTTTACATCTTCACAATACAGTAACCACTAAGCCATATGTGACAAATGTGCATTTAAAACACAACTGTGTTTGCTTGTGCAACTGAGGAATGGAATTGCTTGAGCAACTGAGGAATGGAATTGTAGTTTTATTCCATTTTAAACAATGTACATTTAAAAGATACATGTGGCTCTGGCTACTGATCTGGATAGCACAGTTCTAGACTAAGATGATTGCTAGGCTTAAAAAGAAGATTAGATACAATTTTAATCTTTAAAACAACACAAAAAATTCAAAACCAAAATGCTATTTTATCAAATGATTGTAATTCCTGCTGCATCATTCAGCCCGTATTCATGTTTATGTCCATGTTCAGGTAAAGTATCTTCAACAAAATCATTTTTAAACCACTAAAGGATGTAAATCCATTCTGTTTCTCTTTTGCACTTTTTTAATAAAAATTTTTCACATATTATCTTAATTAACACATGCATCCATACACCATTTTAAGTGAATAACTTATTTTAAATACAGACATTCTGATCAGTGTAAAAAACATAAACTTGAAACTCTGAAGTCAGAAAAAAATCAGGGTTTAAAGCACATCACCATTCTTAATTACCTAGAAAGACTTTGAGCAAGTCTGCTGGGCTTAGTTTCTCTTTTTGTAAAGCAGATACATTAATACTTTCTTCACAGTACTATTGGGCAGTTTAGAAGGACCTGGGTGGCTGTCAGTTAAGTGTCTGATTCTTGGTTTTGGCTCAGGTCATGATCTCTCAGTTCATGGGGTTGAGCCCTATGTTGGGCCTGGGATTCTCATTCTCTCTCTTTCTGTCTCTCTCTCTCTCTCTGTCCCTCCCCTATTTGTACTCTCTCACTCTAGCTCTCTCTCTCAAAAAAAATTTAAAAAATAAATATAATAGTGTAGGAGAAAGAGTCTACAACAGTACCAATACAATAACACATAATCTTTAGTGATACCCCAATTAATCAGAATGGATCTGAAAACAGCAGTGTTTTCAAATATCTAACATATTAATCCCAAGATGCAGGAATGAAAAATTAGATTCTCAGAATTCCCTAAAATATAAATTACTCTCTATTTTTCATAATATTTTTTATATTTTAAATAATAATAAATGATATATTTTTTTTCTGTGATACATTATACCAAAGGTTTCAGGGCTTTTATTTTAAGAAATAATAATTCATTATGATTCAATATTATTATATATTTCAATAACATGCAAAGATTACTTCTACTGGATATAGACATTTCAGCATAGACAACACTAAAAGAAGAAAACATTAACACAAATGTCAGAAAAATTTTTTAATTTTAAAAGGTTATCGTACAAATATTTAATATATAAACTATTGTTCATGATATAAAATTTTGAAACACGCAAACAAAATCAATAGCTCTATCCAATATTTTGATCTTTCCTTCACGACAAATATTCTAGACGTAGCAAATTTTCTCATTTTACATGGACTTCGGTCAAATTATTAAGAGTGTACCCCAAAGCATCTTCAATTCAGAGCATTAAGGTACATGTTGCATTGTTTAAACTCATCCTTTTACAATGAAAATACTGTCTGCTTACCCTGATTTTGGTTATTCTGCTGAAATCAATATTGTTTTTACTAGTTCAGATTTTAAATCATTTTCTGATTTCATATAGGAGTATTCCACAATAAAAGTCACATTTTTTCTCTCTGTATTTCTTCTACTAAGGTATTTACAAAGATCTACAGGTCAATTTATATAATATATAGTGAATATTCAAACACTGGAAAATGGCAGCAAACATTTGGTAATATAAAAATATAACATTTGAAACTTCTAGTGAGGTCAACACCCCTACATAGAATCACATGCCAAACATGCCAATTTAAGGACGTATTTTGCTTCTAAAATTTATTTCATGGAATGTCATTCACAGGATTATATATAAAACATACTATATGTATAAGCTTATTATTACTTATTTGCAAGAATAACACCTTTAACAAGAGACAGGGCCCATAAAACATAATATGGCCACAAAAGCAAGACTGATGAATTAGATGCATGTTCCTGTCCTATTTCCAGAAATGTCCATGTTAACCTATGGCTCAGTGAGTCAGCATTTCTTGTTCTTACTCTCAGCTGGCATCGGTGGATTACTTTGAACCAGTAACATTTGTAGTTGATTGTTGAGTTTTGTTACTCAGGGAATTATAACACTCCCTCCCATAGTCCTAATTCTCAACTGATTTTTCTCAGGATTTAGGAAACCATAAATTTTCTGACAATTCCAGAAAGGAATTACCACATAGAAATACTATTCTTGAAAAAGTACAGCATTTTCATGAAGCCACTTAAATTTTAACTTATGTGTTTGATGGATCTTGATTTTGAACTGTTTTCATGGGATGCTCACGGATACAGAGGAATTATCAATTTTTTTAAAGCTAAATGTTCTTTTTTTGAGTATCAAAATGTACACATCTAGACATGGAGTTTTTTAGATAATTAAAGATTAATTCCTAGCTTTATTTTAATAAGTAAATACTTACATTAAATTCCAAGATTTAAAACTGTCAAGATACTAATTTTCCTAAGTAATTTAACTTTTTAATCAATTAATAATCCATGTTCATTTTTACAAATTACACTTATACAAATTATAAATTATATTACAAAACTATTCAGAATAAAGAAATACATCCCTAAGGAAACCACCTTTAATAAAATGGCAAGTAGTAAATACAGTTTATATTCATTTTGTTATTAAAAGAGGAGAAATAGGTGTTAGATAATTGTACACTGATAAAAGTTATTTTTTATAGGTGTTTCAATAATAAAAGTATTTTTAAAGCTATAAATATATAGCTTAAACTTAAACATCAATGAAGATCAGTTTTTATTACATTTGGCTTTTGTTCAAAAGTAGTGTCCCTTCAGGGGCACCTGGGTAGCCCAATTGGTTAAGCGTCCTAATGATTTCAGCTTAGGGCATGATCTCACAATCTGTGAAATCGAGCTCCATGTCAGGCTCCACGCTGACAGTGCAGAGCCTGCTTGGGATTCTCTCTCCCTCTCTCTCTCTGCTTCCTCACTACGCATGCATGCACAGGCTTGCGCACACTTGATCTCTCTCTCTCAAAATAAACACTGGGAAGAAAAAAGTAGTATCCCTTCTTTTTCCTCTCATTACCAGCACAATCATGAGCAAGCACTATGCTCCTTACCAACTCACCCTTAACACCTATTGTTCTAAACAAAATGTAATGCAACTCAAGCAAAACAGCTCTGTTAAGGGCTTGAGTAACAAAGGCCAGGGACTAGTTCCCAGCAGCAACAGTATTATAACCAACAGCAGTCAAGTCAATACAAATTGTGTTCTTAATTAATGAGGTGGAGAACTGAACTTATTTTTCTTTAATCATACTGCAAGAAATAAGGCATACCAAACTATTCTGCAATATTGATGCCTCTTGAACCATTTAGATATAAAAAACAGTTGAACCCTGAACTGAATTTCCCAACTGTCAGATCTAGATGAAGTATCCGTATGTTGTGATTCCTTCAAGGGCTATTAAAGAAGAAGTAAATAGCTTGGCTTGCCTTTTCACAGAATTTTCCAAGCCTGCTGTTACTCAAAGATTACCCCAACATTCTGTTTTCTGGTCACGTGATACCAACGACACTGGGTCAACTCCTCATCACTTAAAATTATTTTTAATTTTTTTTTTCTCTTTTTTCTTTTGTCTTCTTCCTTGTACTTTCTACTTTAATCAAAACATCTTCATTTTGGTAAAAGTGGGTTTTGGCTCTGGTCATCTCTATCAGCTCTTCTTTTTATCACATCAGCAAACCAAATCAATTATATCACAACTTGTATATTACTAAGAACCATCAGTTTTTCCTCACTTTAAATTTCTGGCTGTTCCATAATGCATGGAATGCAAGAAATATAATAGGATATAATGGTAACATTTCTATGTTTCAGGACCATTAAAAATGCCAATGCAATGTTGATAACTCACAGAACACTGAAGCAGCTCAAACAAGAAATTCTTTCAGAATTAAAGTTCCTTTATTTTTCAAGTACTTAAAACCCTCAAGACCAGTGTCTTTTATTACCAATTCACAGAATAACTTTTTTTAAATAAGCTCTAAGGCCAACATGTGGTTTGAACTCACCATTTCAAAACCAGGAGTCACATGCTCTACCAACCAAGCCAGGCAGGCACCCTCACAGAATAATTTTTAACATTAATCTTAACCTTCATAATTTTTATTAGTTTCATACATAATTGTTACTTATTATATGTTACTCTAAAATACATTGATCATTTGCATCTGATTAAATTTCATTAAATAAGTTTCTACATAACACGCTATTGCTATCAATTATCATTTTCATACTTCAAAAATAATTATATAAAAAAGTATATATAAATTCAAGTCAAACACCAAGTTCAATTCATTTATTAGAGTCTATGATATATTAACCTCTAAAAATCTAGGGCTCTTCATCTCTTATGCTTGAACCCCTTTACGAAATGTCTGAAGGACACATCTAACTGGCCCCACAAGAGATACCCATGTGATCACAGCTGCTGATAGAAAAGGAAAAAACAATTCTTTCCTTCCTCTTTTCTTCAGCCAGAAAACCTGAGAACTGTCCAGAAAACCTGAGAACTGACCTTTTTTGACTCTAATAATCAAACTGGACACCTACCTTTTTACCCCTTCTGCCTCATTTAATCCTTCAATACAATTCATTTACTTGCTTCTCAGCTTCCAACTGACATAGATTCTCAGTATCAAAAAGGTTCTGCAACTTTTTCCTGCCAATCATTATTAACTAATAAAATTATACATAATTTAGCTTCATCACTAAAATGATGCTATCTAAAAGCATACTTGTTACTTGGAGAGTCATTACTTATAACAGATAAACATTACTTACTCAGTTCTTAATGTATTTGTTTTATATAAATTAATTTTAGATAACTTACTATTTTTTTCTTCTGAGATTTTAAATCATCCAATGCTTCATCTAGAAAATAAGATTTAAATCAAAGCTAAGTCAGACAGTAAAATACTTAGATATCTTAAAATAGTAAGCCAAATAATATACATTAAGCAACCATAAGAATACTTTCTCATTTTAGGATTTCTCATTGATGTGTACAGATGAAAATTATCTCAAGCTTTACATGTATATATTTCATACTTTTGCCTATATATTACAAGAGCAAAATCGACTTTACATAGAATAAAACGCCTTTCAAAATTTAAAAAGATTTAAACATGTTATCTTTAAATAAATATTCTTATTTTTATTTTTTTAATGTTTATTTTTGAGAGAGACAGAGACAGAGCATGAGCAGACAGGAGGAGAGAGAGAGGGAGACACAGAACCCAAAGCAGGCTCCAGGTTCTGAGCTGTCAACACAGAGCCTCACATAGGGCTCGAACTCACAAACTGTGAAATCGTGACCTGAGCCGAAATCGGATATTTAACCGACTGAGTCACCCAGCCGCCCCTAAATATTCTTCATTTTTAATTAAATTTATAATAAAATTATTATTTCTTCATTAAAGTTCTGGGGTAGCAAGCATCTGAATATCCATATCAAAGTATTTTTTCTGTAAAAATTCAAATACAAACTTATAAAAAGACTTTATACAGTTTTTCCAAAACATTTTAGTTTTTAATGGAGAGCAGAGAGGTCTGCTAACATCTTTAAAGAGAATAGTCATCTACACTTAATAAGACCAAGCCAAATATTTATCCCTTAATCCAGAAGTCACCAAACTTCTTTCTATAAAGGGATAGACAGTAAATATTTAGGCATTATGGGCCAAAAGGCAAAATTGAGTCAGCACTTTTAAGGCATAAGAAAAAACAAATTTCCACAAATCTTTATTGATGAAATTCAAATATAATAGTAATTGAATTTTTGGTAACACACGCCTATCAATGAAAAGAATTAAATTATTTTCTTTTGGGTGGGGAGATAACATTTCACTAAATTGAGGTTCAAAGGTAGTGTTCCCTAAACAAAACAAAGGAACATATTGGGGGGGGAGGGAGAGAGAGAAACCAACCATAAGAGACTCAAAGAGAACAAACTAATGGTTGATGGAAGAGGAGAGCAGGGGATGAGTTAGATGGGTAATGGGTATTAGGAGGGCACTTGTAATAGCCAAATTATTGGAAGAGCCTAAATGTCCATCAACTGATGAATGGATAAAGATGTGGTTTATATATACAATGGAATACTACTTGGCAATGAGAAAGAATGAAATCTGGCCATTTGCAGCAACGTGCATGGAACTGGAAGGTATTATGCTAAGTGAAATAAGTCAGTCAGAAAAAGACAGATACCATATGTTTTCACTTATATGTGGATCTTAAGAAACTTAACAGAAGACCATGGGGGAAGAGGAAAGAGAAAAAATAGTTACAAACAGAGAGGGAGAGAAGCAAACCATAGAGACTCTTAAATACAGAGAACTGAAGGTTGGTGGGGGTGTGGGGGAGAGGGGGAAATTGGTGATGAGCACTGAGGAGGGCACTTGTTGGGATGAGCACTGGGTACTGTACGTAAACGATGAACCACAGGAATCTACCCTAAAAACCAAGAGCACACTATATGTTAACCAATTTGAAAATAAATTATATTAGGAAAAAAAAAGAAGAAGGGTACTTGTGATGACCACTGGGTATTTATATGTAAATGATGAATCACTGAATTCTAATCCTGAAACCAATATTGTACTGTGTGTTCACTACCTAGACTTTAAACAAAAATTTGAAAAGGAAAAGTTAGTGTTCCATATCATCAAAATTGGTTGCAAATATTAACATGTTAATGTTAATCTGTGATGAAATTTTACACTTGATTTTTGAAAATGTTTTATCACATAGATAGGTACTGCTAAATATTGAAATCAATCCACAAGCACATGATTTAATTGAGCATATTCATTGTTTGGAAGGCATTTATAAATTCTTTAATTCTTCTATTAATATTTGCCTTTTCTTGTCATTACATTGGAAATTAATCACTTCCAATTGAAGTTAAGTGGAAACCCCTCAACTACACAGTTAAATGGATTCTGAAATACAGGAAATTTCCTTTGTACTTATGTGAGTTCTGGAAAACACTGCTGGAACTACAGTTCGAGATCAGATAACGTATCTGTTACAAATTTCTGTGGGAATGGAGATTCTGCTTCTTGTTTTCACTTTTCATAGCCTTTTTTAAAAATTATTTTTTGTCATTACAATGATACCTGTTTTACAGCACTATAGGTTTTATATGTAAGGACTGTTTTGTTTTGCAATCTTAGGTTGAATTCACTAGGAACCATTATCATCTCTGCAGCAAAAGCTAATTTTCCAAATTAGTCAGTATTCCATCACAGTGGTTGAAGGTGGTTCATCTCGTGCAGAAATATTTCAATCTAGGCCCTACGCTCAAAGTATCACCATAAAACTTTACCATTGCTGAGCCATCAAACTGCTAAGGGGCTGGGCAGGTTAAGATATTCAGCTTCAATTTGTGATTAAAGTTCACATAACTGGGGTGCCTGGGTGGCTCAGTAGGTTGAGCGTCCAATTCGGCTCAGGTCATGATCTCATTGTGCGTGGGTTCGAGCCCCACGTCGGGCTCTGTGCTGAAAGCTAGCTCAGAGCCTGGAGACAACCTTCAGATTCTGTGACTCCTCTCTTTGACACTCCCCTCCTCATGCTGTCTCTATCTCTCTCTCAAAAATAAATAGAACATTAAAAAAGTAAAGTTCACATAACTAACAATAGTTAAGTTCATGAGAGTAAAGTTCCCCAAAGATCAATTTGATAACACATGATGGGTTCAATTATGCTCTGCAAAGTATCTATTGCCTAACACAAGGAATAACAACAGAATTTAAACACCTTACAGTTTCACAAGTTTTGTAAATTAATCCAAATAACCCTTTTTCTGCTTCGCATTTTTTTGTGTAACACTTGACACACAATGCTACATTAGTTTCAGGTGTATAACTTAGTGATTGGACAAGTTTACATGTTATGCTATATTTGCCACAAGTATAACTACCATCTGTCCCATTATATCATTATTACAGTATCATTAACTGTATCTCTTATGGTATGCTTTTTATTCCCATGACCTACTCATTCCGTAACTAGAGGACTGTATCTCCTACCCCTCTTTACCCAGTTTTTCTCAATCCCCCACCCTCCCTTCTCCTCTGGCAACCATCAATTTGTTCTCTATATTTATAGGTCTGATTCTCCTTTTTGCTTATTTCTATTTTTTAGATTCCATTTTAGCGGAATCATGTTTTCTCAGTCTGACTTATTTCACTTAGCATAATACCCTCTAAGTCCATCCATGTTGTCTCAAATGGCACAATCTCATCCTTTTATGGGTAATATTCCATTGTATATCTATACACACACACACCACATTTCCCTTATCCATTTGTCTATTGATGAACACTTAGGTTGCTTCTGTAGCTATTGTAAATAATGTTGCAATAAACAGATAAACATAGGAGTACATATACCTTTTTAAGTTAGTGTTTTCATTTTCTCTGGGTAAATACTCAATAATAAAATTATTAGATCATACAGGATTTGTTTTCAATTTTTTGAAGAACCTCCATACTATTCTCCACAGTGGTTGTACCAATTTTCATTCCCACTAACAGTGCACAAGGGTTCCTTTTTCTCCATATCCTTGCAAAACTTGTTTCTTCTCTTTTTGATACTAGTCATTCTGACTGGTGTGAAGTGATATCTCATTGTGGGTTTTGATTTGTGTTTTCCTGTTGATTAGTGACATTGAGTACCTTTTCATTGGTCTGTTGGCCATCTCTATGTCTTCTTTGGAAATAATTTTACCACCAATATTTACAATACATCTTAGCAGATTCCACTTCAGATCCTACTGAATTGGTGTTTTTTCAACTTTAAAAATATTGTCCTGAAGTTATTTTACACAGACTTTTCACAGAAGTTAATTCAGTCACTTCAACCTCAGTATTGACTGCTCAAATAAACTACAATCGAGCAGTGTTCAGAGCCAAGTGGAAGACCACTTAAAATCATTTGCTATGTTTTTAAATTAACTATCTTGCTTCCAATATTCTCAATTCTTCAAGCAGTTGTTCTTGTCAAAAAACTACTTACTAATTAAGAAAGTATACTTTCTCTGAACACATTTCTTCAGCTGCTGCAATCAAATACAATTTAATTAATTCACCATTGGTAAACAGCTTCCTCTGTTTCACAAATAAGCCACTCAGAATCTTATTTGGTTGAAGCTCCGTTTTCACTTTTTATTTTTACGAAGAAATTCAGCTATGATGAGATATTCCCTTTTAAATATTCTAATTTTTCTGTCCATTGCTTTTCTATGAATTGGGAATATCATAATGAGTACTTAGTATGGTAATGTCAATGTATATTTCTATTCTTTTCGCAGAGTTATAATGTTGTTGAGTAATAAACACAATGCTTTGTCTTTTGATAACAAAACAATCCACAGTCCGCTGTCCCTAAAATGCAACATTCGAAGTCCAATCTTCTTTTATTGTTTTTATATGATGAGTATGCATTGGTAATTTAATAAAAATAAAATTGTCACAATACATATGGCACTTGAAATGTTGAGTTATAATTGTGTCAATGTGATTCTTGTACATTCTGCAACAATCTGAAGTGTTGTGAGTTATAACTGTGTCAATGTGATTTGTTGTACATCCTGCAACAGTCTGAAATACTGAGAGCACCACATACACTCTGTCACAACTACTTAACTCTGAATGAAAGCAGCTACAGACACCATGTAAATAAATGGACAGTATTTTGCTTTAATAAAACACATTTGGGTTTCAAATAAATGTAATATCACAAAATTTTATTCTTTCAAATTTTTTCAATGATTTAAAAATGTTAAAATCATTCTTAGATCATGACTTTCAGGGGGTGAGCAGGACTTGACCCACAGGCTATAGTTTGCCAACCCTTAATCTATGCTAGGTATAAAACAAAGAATATAAAACTAAAGAGAGTAAAAAGTAAAGACACAATCAATAGCTTCAGGCTTAAAAAAAAATAATATTGTACCTGACTTTATGCTAAAAATAACACATGCAGGATTACAAGACAGTCTTTTATGAAGTCAATTTTAAATATACATGTAATACCTATTCAAATATATTAGTAATTCTTTTTAAATAAAAGGATCCATGAAATAAATTTTTAAAGCAACTCCTGTCCCTGGCGTGCCTATTTGTAAGTTAAAATATTCACATATTTAATTTCCTTAGAGAAAAGTTTCCAAGCACTCTTTTAAAATAAGTTCTTTTTTCTTTTTTTTTATTTAAAAAAAAAAAATTTTTTTTTAATGTTTTATTTATTTCTAGGAGAGAGAGAGACAGCATGAGCAGGGGAGGGTCAGAGAGAGAGGGAGTCACAGATTGAAACAGGCTCGAGGCCCTGAGCCGGCAGTCAACACAGAGCCCGACGCGGGGCTCGAACCCACGAACCGCGAGATCATGACCTAAGCGAAAGTCGGACGCTTAACCGACTAAGCCACCCAGGCGCCCCAAGTTTTCTTATATTTTTCACTATTTTGTTAGTTCCATGAAGTCAGAGATCATATTTGTTTTAAACTTCTTCCTGTCCTCCTGGAATCTACTATATTACTAAACATCACTGGAAACAATACCATAACCTTAATTTCCTTAATATGATAAAAAGTATCGATGTTTTTTAAAATCACAGCAAATATCACATGTAACGGTAAAAATTAAAATCTTCTCCACTGAAAATCAAAAACTAGACAAGGATATCTGCTATTCCCACTTCAATGCACTATACTGAGTTCTAACCCATTAAATAAGACAAGAAAAATTTAAAAGGCAACAAAAATAAAAAAGAATAAGGAATGGAAAAGAAAAACCAGTACCATCAGCCCACATGTAATACAACACTGCAATTTTTATGATTTGGCATATAGTTTCAATTAATACAATAGCTTGCCAAAACAAATATTTCATACTAATGATGTTAATAATACATGCTTCCATTTTACAAATTAGGAAACTGACACGCAGAGAACTAAAACTTGTCAGTAAGACAAAAAGAGGGCTGGAGCAAAAGTGAAAAAAAAGAGTAGAAAGAGATGAAGTTAGAGAAATAGGTATAAGACAGAAAGTAGGGGTAAAGAATTCAGATTTACTCTGGCAGCCATCAGAGGATTGTAAGCAGAAAAAATCAATAGAACTGATTTGTACCTTAAAAATAGACTAGTTAGGAAGCCACTGCAATAGTATAAGTAGGGGATGATAATGACCTGAATTAGAACAGTGGTAGTGGTAAAGCAAGTTAGAAGTAGGCAGATTCAAGACAATTGTGGAGGTAAAGATGATTAAGACTTTGAAGAAGAGAGAGGAATCAATGGTAGATTAAAGGGAATATGGAGTCAGGATAGGGTTTTCCCCTCCAGCTGACTGTATGGAGACAGGATTATACACCAATAGAGACAATCCAATAGAAACAGATAATGCAAAAGTGGATAACTGCAAGAAGAGGTAACTGCAAGAGCAAAGTTCTTGAGATGGACAGAGCATCTAGAATCCAAAACATTAATGGAGGGCTTAGCCATAAATGGGATCAAGGTCACTCTTCCAGACTACCACTGAAGGATGACAATATACTAACAGATGAAGCTAACTTCATACATGTGGTAGTGGAGGTAGCTCTCATCTGTTTACATCTATTTTCTCCATAAAGTGAGACTATCACGTGAGAATGGTCAGGTGAATTTTATGAGATTTTGTTTGTTTGTAGATTTTGAATTTTTATTTGGTTGGTTAATTGGTTTTATTTTGATTTGATTTTTGGGGGTTTTTTTGCAGGGAGGCAGATATTAGTGATTTGAAGAGAAATACAATCTCAAAAAATGCTCTCAAAGAGAAAAACGTGAATTTTCTAGGGAACTATAAAATAGGACTATGTAGCAGTACTGAGGACACATTTAAATAAATTTAGCTTTCCTGATGTAGGGATGGATTAAGCATATAAAAGTTCTTAACCAGGACAGAGTTTTGCCAGTCATAGATTAAGCATATTACTGTATTTAAACAAGGTGCAGTTTTTGCCAGCCAAGTAGGATGGGAAAAAGGAGCAAAGGAGTCAAGGATATCTGTAAGGAATGGTCATTGGACTAGACCAGAGAACTTAAACTGGACTGAAGAGAAGTCGTAAGTGAGGACTGCAGTTTGAAAGTCCTATATCTGTATGAACCTTATTTGGATCTTGAGTCAAACAAAATATATTTTATGATATTAAAATTTTTTTAGATATAATTGCGTATTATGTTACATGAATTATATAATGTATGTTTTAAAGCCTATTATGGATAGATATAACTGAGATATACTTCAAAATAATACAGTAGGTAGAGAAGTGGGTGGAGGTAAAAATGAAACAAGACTGACCATTAATTGGTGATTGTTTATGTTGTGTGATAGTTATATGGGAACTTATTATATTATTCACCCTACTTTTGTATAGGTAATTAGGTATATACAATTTTCCAAAATGAAAAGTTAAAAGAAAAGAAAAAAGAAGTCATATATAAAGTTCGTTTACAATGAAATTTGCATATCTTTGTTTATAACTCATATTTTTAAGACCTGAAAAATCTTTAAAATCTGTACATAGATTACAGAAGCAAATATTACCATAATTTGCATATTTCAATTAAAAAAAAAAGCCTAGGAGCTGTGAGGTTATTAAAGAGAATGGTACAACATAAGTTTTATATAAAAATTAACAATTTCTCGATTTAAATAAATAATTTTGTGTAAAAAGAACTCTAAATAAACAAGACAAAAATAACACAAATAAAAAAAAAGAACAATCTTGATCATACAAAATGTCTGATAGTAAAAACTCTTTAATACTTACCACATTGTCATTTCAATATATGTTTTACAACCTGCCATTCTATTAGAAACCAATGCACTAAAAGATGGAGGGTTTTTTTGGTAATGTGTTTATAAAAACTTAGAAATTAAACTTACTATTTCTTTCTGTTCTCCTGGAAAAGAAGAAAATAAGTACTGTTCTTATGCTCCAGATGCTACGGAGGAAACAAAATTCAGAAACAAAAACTATCATTAGGATAAGTAAATCAGAAGTCTTATAAAATGAAAAGAAATAAACATTTCCAATTAGAGTTCAATATATTGCTTCCCTTTTTATTTTGAAAATCAAAAAGTACTCCTTTCTTTCAGAGATCTTCAAAGGTCTACCTCTTCTTTCAAAGGAGGAGTTCTCAATCTAAAATCCATGGACCTTCAGAGGGTGCCCCAGAACTGTGAAATTACCTTTGTGTGCATAAGTGCATCCCTCTGGAGAGACCATTGTGTTCTTCACTCTCAAAGAGGTTTATGAAGCCCCCAAAAGAAAACAAATTATACATCGCTTATTATGTAAGCATCAACTCCAAATATGTGTCCATTCCCATGCCCTAAGGGAAAAGCACGTTTTACAAATCAAGCCCACTCTACAAATGTAAGTTGCTCCTCCTCGTCTATTATTTAACATTGGAAGGATTTTCTCTACTAAATAGGGTAAGCAATCTAGAAGAAAAAGAAAATTTACCTTCAAATAAATATTTGATAAGTAAACTTAGACACCTCTTTTCAAAGTTTTTATGAGGAGAATTCTTTAGGACTTACATTAGAATAAGACATCAGATGATATTAAAAGTGAATCAAAGAATGACCCTAATCACAAAGTTTTCAAGATCATCTCTTAAATTCAATGTAAATATAGCAAAATACCTCTTTCTCCATAGAACATGGCAGAATAAGTATATAAACATTATTCACAATTTTATTAAAAAAATACATTGCATCTGAATTTAAGTTACCTCTTCTCTCTGAAATAGATCACTGCTATTCTTGAGAGTTTGCCTGCAAGGTAGTCACCAGTGAACCCTGTCTCCTCTTAACACTCTCTTAACCAGTGTTGGTCTGTGTAACTAACAGAATATGGCGGAAGTAAGAGTATGTCACTTCAAGATTAGGTTATAAAGCACTGCAGCATCCATGTTAGGCCTCTTCTTCCACCCACCATCTTTCTCTTGGATTACCTGCTCTAAGAGAAGCCAGCTGGTATGATATAAGGAAATTCAGGGAACTCTATGGAAGAGCCCATGTGGCAAAAAATAGAGGTCTGTGGCAAACAGCCAGCAAAGAGAGGAGGCCTGCCAACAACTACGCGTGTGAGCTTAGAAGTAAATTTTCCAACCTTAGTTAAGCCTTGAGATAACTGCAGCTCCAGCCAACAGCTTAACTGCAATTTATATATGAATAAAGACCCTAGGCTAGAATAACCCAAGTAAGCTCCTCTCACATTCCTACCCCTCAGCAACTGTGAGAGTTAATAAACATTTGTCGTTTCATGCTACTAAGTTCTGGGAAAACTTATCACTGCAATAGATAACCAATATATGTTTTTTATATTGTGGTGGTTCATTTATAAACAATACATGCTTTTATATTGTGGTGATTCATTTTTATGATATAGACAACTACCTAAGTATGAAAAAAGACACTGAACACTGTCTTTATCAAAGGAAAGGAAAGAAGTTAAACATACTGCTCATAATCCTCAAGGATCTTACAACAGAAAACTCTCATACTATTTGTCCATTACAAACCCACTGAAACAGTGGCAGCAGAGAGATGATATAGGGAAAATTGGGAGGAGGGGATAGGAAAACAGAGAACACAGGATAAGGAATTGCAGAGATAGTGACTAGAATTCTGTAGGTAATCAGTAAATTTTCAGTAAATTTTCTTAAATATGTATTTTTAAAAGCGTATATAATTTTCAAAATGTAAAACCTGTAAGAACTGAAATATATTTCCTTGCTTCAAAATAAAACTCAGTATCCCCCTTTGTGGACAATAGATTCTCCTTTTGGTTTTTATCAGAACTACTGCTGGAGAAAATGAACTATCAATACATTTCCTTCAAGACTTGAGAAGGTAGAACACATACAGTTAGTTAATCTTTAAGGCTAAATTAAATGAAATTCTTTTGTATTTTTAAAATGAAATTTAGGAAAAACAATAAGGCACTTCAAAAATCTATAAACCAATAAAGATTTTTTACTCTAATAACTAGATATAACTTATGAAAACAGAGCAACATATTTTGTGAAAATATTAAAGATATTACTACTGACTCCTCCTTTGAGAACAGTGGCATAATTTCCTTTTCCCTCTTCTCTTCTTAGAAATACTCCAAACAACAAGGAGAAAAAAACACAAATTCTTGTTCTGATAAAATTAAGATGTAGCTAAAATCCAACTCCCAAAAGCAATGGAGATCATGAAGATCAAGAGTGCAAGCAGAGAAGGAAAACTACTTATCCCACAAAGCAGGAGCAAGACAAATTTCTCAAAGTGTAAAAGCCCTAACCCCATGTTTATAACAAGAAAAAGATAGGGGTGCCTGGGTGGCTCAGTTGGGATTCTCTCTCCCCTCTCTCTCTGCCCTTTCCCCACTTACACTCTCTCTCAAAAAAATAAAAGAATAAGAAACACATGCTATATACACAGAAACTCCTCTGTTTGAGTCCAACAGTGAAACAGAGAAGGCAGAGAACTTAAAGAGAAATCATTCAGAAATGCCGTTTACAGAGGTGTCTAGGTGTCTCAGTCAGTTAATCCTATGATTCTTGATTTTGGCTCAGGTCATGATCTCATAGTCTGTGAGTTCAAGCCCCACATAGGGCTCTGTGCTGACAGCTCAGAGCCCAAAACCTGCTTCAGATGCTGTGTCTCCCTCTCTCTCTGCTCCTCCCCAGCTCACATTCTGTCTCTTAAAGATGAATGCTAAAAAAAAAAATTAGAAATGCTCTGTTCACAAAGAATATTGTTTCTATGGCAGCAGAGAAGAAAAGAGGTTTCGTATTAGGAAAAAAATATACAGTTACCTAACACTATTGGCTAGGAAAAATAAAAGCTGAGCAAATTAGCACACTAAATGCTGGATCATAAGGAAAACTCTAGATAGCATGGCATGTAAGAGGGCATGCCCCCATACTCATACAACCCACTACAAATAACTGGGTGAAATAAACATACCACATAGTTAGAGATTTATTTTTAAGTTTAAAAAAACACAAAAGCAAAATACAAAGTTACATTTCAAAACGTAGGCCAACATCTTCCTCTTAATAAATGTAAATGAGCTAAACTCACCAGAGCAAAAGACTTTCAGACTGGAGCATTAAAACAAAAACCAACTCTGTAACATAAACTAAAATCTAAAACTAAGAGTTTTTGAAAGATGAAGAAAATAAAACAAAGGGCAAAAGTAAACTAGACAAATACCAAGAACACAGGAGCTGTATCTTAATGCCCCACAAGGTTAAATTCAAGACCCCCTCAAAAAAACTTAAACCAGAAAAAGGTCATTTCATAGTGTTAAATATGATGCAATTCCTTTCCAACAAAAAGGTTCTGGAGCAACTGGGCACCCATGGGCAAAATGAAAGACAGAAGAAAAGAAGAATCTGAACATGAACTTCACACCTTATATAAAAATTAACTCAAAATGACTTAAGAACTTAAATGTAAAATGTTTAAAAAAAAAAAGCATAGAAAAAAAAATAAAATCTTCAGAACCTATAGCCAGGGAAGTGTTCTTGAAATAACTTATATCTACAACATATAAAGAATTCATGGGGCACCTGGGTGGCTCTGTCGGTTAGGCGTCGGACTTCAGCTGGGGTCATGATCTCGCAGTCCATGAGTTCGAGCTCTGTGCTGACAGCTCAGAGCCTGGGGCCTGCTTTGGATCCTGTGTCTCCCTTTCTTTCTATGCCCCTCACTGTCTCATGCTCTATCTCTCTCTGTCTCTCAAAAATGAATAAACATTTTTATTTTTTTTCTTAAATAGTTTATTGTCAAGTTGGTTTACATATATAACACCCAGTGCTCATCCCAACAAGTACCCTTCCCCATGCCCATCACCCCCCTTCCCCTTTCCCCTACCCCCATCAGTCCTCAGTGTGTTCTCAGCATTCAAGAGCCTCTCATGGTTTGCCATGAATAAACATTTTTTTAAAAAATTAAAGAATTCTCAGAATTCAACAGCAAAAAGACTAATAATCCAATCAGGAAAATAGAAGATATGAACAGGTATTTCAAAGAAAAGGGGATATATATGGCAAATAAACACATGAAAAGAAATTCAACATCATTAGCCATTAGTGAAATGTCAATTAAAACCACAATGAAATATCATGACATACCCATCAAAATGATCAGAATAGAAAATAGTGAAAAATGAAATGCTGGCAAAGATGCAAAGAAACTAGATCATTTATTTTTTTTACCTTTTTAATATAATTTATTGTCAATCTGGCTTACATACAACAGCCAGTGCTCATCCCAACAAGTGCCCTCCTCAATGCCCATCACCCAAAACTAGATCATTTGCTTTCTTTTTTTGTGTGTCTTTATTTTATAATTTTGAGAGACAGAGAGTGAGCAGGGGAGGGGCAGAGAGAGAGGGAGACACGGAATCTGAAGCAGGCTCCACGCTCTGAGCTGTCAGCACAGAGCCCAGCGCAGGGCTCGAAACCACGGACTGTGAGATCATGACCTGAGCCGAAGTTAGACGCTTAACTGACTGAGCCACCCAGGTGTCCCAGAACTAGATCATTTATACACAACCAGTGGAAATGTAAAATGGTACATCTACTCTGAAAAAATGTTTAGCAGTTTCTTATAAATCTAAACATGTACTTATCATATGCCCCAGAAATTACACTCTTGGGCATATACCCCCCAAAAATGAAAACTTATGTCCAAATGCCTATCGATATACAAATGTTCATAGAAGCTTTATTTGTAATAGCCCAAAACTGGAAGCTACCCAAATGTCCTTCAACAAATGTATGGTTAAACAAACCATGATACGTCATTACTATGGAATACAACTCAACAATAAAAAAGAAACCACTGATACACTTAACATCTTGAATGGATCTCAAGAATATGCTGAATGAAAAAGAAAAAGGCCAGTTTCAAAAGGTTACATACTATGTGATCTCAT